TTTTTGCCCGTACTGCACGTTGGATGCAGAAGTTGCCTGACTCTGTCATCTCTTCTGTTAACTCAAAATTGTTCAAAAAAAGCTTTTGGAATGCGACTTTTTGAGTTTGTTAGGCATTGACGAGTCTGAATACTTTTAGATGTAGGGTCTCGTTTACAAAATGTGTGTTTCGTTTATTTCAATCCATTTTTTCTTCTCCTTTTTTTCAGAAAATGGGAATTCGGCTGACTACTTTACATCTTCTTTCTGTTACGTCTTTTTCATCTGCGATAAGCTTGGGAGTTTAGCTTTCTCTTTAGTTTGTAGTTGTTCTTCTCGGTTTTCTTTTTAGATCCCGTTTGTCGGCGGACTCAACTTGTGTCGTCCAGTAATTGTTGACAACGCATGATCGAGTTCCAGCTTCTTCTCTTTTTTTGCCTGTACTACCTTTTGTAAGAGTGCAACATAGACGTCGTTGCGTATTGTTTGATCTTTGGTTTGATGTTGTGTCAGTTCAATTCGACTGAGACATATATGTCGTTCTAGGTCTAATTTTTCTTTTCGTCCTGGTACATAAGGCTAGCCTAAGGAGACTGTCCGAATATATTTTTTACCGAGCTTATTTCCAGTTTTCCTTTGAGTTTGTGGCTCATCCAGTATGTTCGGTTGTACTAGGGTTGCCTAGTTTGTTGCGCTAGCATCCCCTTTTCATAGTCTCCGTCATACTCCTTGAATATTGGTCGCTTGCTGGTCAGCGAGGGTGGCATGCGCAGACTCATATGATTATCCTTTATGGCAGCGCTTCTAATAGTTAGCCCTTGTGTTCTATCATTCATTAGTGTGAACCTAGACTGGCGAATGGTCTCAAAAAAGCTATTTTATTTCTCTGCGTTAAGCCTTTCTTGTCTCTGTGTGTGTATTTCTAACACTGATTTTTTTTCAAGAATCTGTTGATTACTAACCCGACACTATGGCGCGCCTGTGGCGTATTCAAATAAATAAATAAATAAATAAATAAATAAATTCAGAAGATTGTCGCGTTCACCCTTCTTGAAGAGAAGGACGGTTTTTGACGTTCCTCCACTGGTCGGGAATCTTCTTCTTCTGAAGGTAAGATGTCAGGTGCGCGGCGAGAATCTCGTGTAGACGTTGTCCTCCGGTTCGCAGAAATTCCACGGAAAGATGGTCTGGTCCTATAGCTGTGGACGTCTTCATGGTCTGAATCGCCCTGCGCACTTCAGCAGGTAAAATTCGCGGTGGTACTTCTCCATTGGAAACAATTGGCATAGGCACGGGTGTTAATGAGGGAAGAGGATGATGTAGAAGTTCTTCGCTATAGATTCTTGTATCGGGAAGAAGTCGGAGTCCCTCTTCGTTCAGTTGTGCAACCACTCAAAGAATCGTCGGGGTGGGCGGCCATGTGATTTACAGGCAAGCGGACACCGGAAAAGTAGTTCGCTGATTTCTTGCGCTCCGCTTGCAGAAGTTTGGAAGAATGCTAGACATTTTCTGGGCGAAATGTAGGGATTTTCATAGCTTAGCTGCGGCGCAGTCGCCGCATTTCCGTGAACTCTCCAGAGGAATATGCAAAAATGTTGAGGGCCGCACGGTCCTTTGTGAAGGACCGCGCAACCCTAGGCACCTTCCGCTGAAAGAAGGTACGCCAAACTCGTGTAATTAAACCATCGATGATACCTCTGCCGCATAGAGTCTCACCTTTGCTCGGCGTAAGTCCGAAACTGCAGAAAAAGAGTCCGAGCGCCTGCTGAAAGTTTGGCCAGCGCTCGCTGAAAGAGATTATTTGACGAGCGCCTGCAGAAAATTTTGTATCGCTGCCCGCTGACAAAACATTGGACAGTAAAGGAAGTACCGCTCGCTGAAGGATTGGCCACGCCCCAAAATCTTGCTGACGGCTTGCAGAAAAGCGCGAGTTTTGCGGACCGCCTGCCCCGGCGATTGTCTGAGCAGGAGTACGTGATATTCAGAAAGGTCCCTTCGGCACTTCTTGAGACTTCGTCTTCCTTCGGCTGCTTCCAGTATCTTGGCTTGCCTGTACTTCCTGAAATTCTCCTTCAAAGCTGTTCTGCAACTGGTGTTGGTTATCAGTCGCTCGAGATGGGTTGCATTCATATTCTGCCTCAAAAACCTTCTTCTTTCGAGCAATTCCTTGGTGGTTTTCGAAATGCGTTCCAAGTTCCTCTCAGAAGTTACTGAGGCGCACTCTCCACAGGCTCGCAATTCAAAAGCCGGTCGTAGTCGTACGTTGGGTCCTTTTCAGATAATTGCCGGGGGGAGGGGACGGTCCGCAAACTCGCGCTTTTCTGCAAGCGGTCAGCAAAATTTTGGGGTGTGGCCAAACCTGCAGCGAGCGGCACTTCCTTTACTGTCTAATGTTCTACCAGGGGCAGCAACACAGAATTTTCTGCAGGCGCTCGTCAGATAATCTCTTCAGCAAACGCTGGCCAAACTTTCAGCAGGCGCTCGGTCTCCTTTTACGCATTTTCGGGCGTACGTCGAGCACAGGTAAGACTCTGTGCGGCAGAGGCGTCACCCTCAGATAATCGCCGGGGGCAGGCGGTCCGCAAACTCGCGCTTTTCTGCAGGCGGTCAGCAGGATTTCGGGGCGTGGCCAAATCCTCAGCGGGCGGTATTTGCGTTTTCTGCAAGCGGGCATCAATACAAAATTTTCTGCAAGCGCTCGTCAAACAATCTCTTTCAGCGAGCGCTGGCCAAACTTTCAGCAGGCGCTCAGACTCTTTTTACGCAGTTTCGGGCGTACGCCGAGAAAAGATGAGACTCTATGTGGCAGAGGTGCCATCGATGGTTTTATTACCCAAGTTTGGGGTACTTTCTTTCAGCGGAAAGTACCTGAGGGTTGTGCGGTCCTTCAAAAAGGACCGTGCGGCTCTCAAAAATTTTGCATGTTCTCGCGGAAAATCCGCGAGAATGCGGCCACTGTGCCGCAACCTATGTATAGAAAAACCGCGATAGATCTTCGAGCGTTCGTCCAAAAATTGGCCAAAATTATTCCAAATTTCTGCAAGCGGACCACAAAAAATCAGCGAACTATTTTTCCGGTGCCCGCTTGCTCAAAATTCGCATGGCCGCTTGCCCCCGGCGATTATCTGAGCCGTTGGTTTAATTACTCAAATTTGAGGTACTTTCTCTCAGCGGAAAGTACCTGGGGGCTGCGCGGTCCTCCACAAAGGGCCGTGCGGCCCCCGGAAATTTTGCATATTCTCGCGGAAAGTCCGCGAGAATGCGGCCATTGCGCCGCAGCTAATCTATAAGGAAACCGCGATTGTTCTTCTAGCATTCGTCTAAAATTTCGCTAAAATTCTCCCAAATGACTGCAAGCGGACCGCAAGAAATCAGCGAACTATTTCTCCGGTGCTCGCCCGCCCACAAATCGCATGGCCGCCTGCCCCGGCAATTATCTGAGTCCTTGATGGGCGTCACAATTTGATATGAGCTCTTCCAACCTATTACCTCATAAACGACTTCCTTCCTTCTCGCGGCACTTTGACAGATTTTCTTTTTCAGCCTTCGACTAAATCGTATCTTTGCTCGAAGGAGGCGGTGATCGGAGCCACTGCAGAATGATGGAACTACTGAGACATCGAGCAAGCTCCACCTTCGATTGGTGAGAATGTGGTCAATCTCCGCGTAAGTTGTTCCGTTGGGCGATTCCCATGTCCACCGACGATGTTCTTTCTTCATGAAGATGGAATTTCCATGAAAAAGTCGTGCGGCGGAGAGGAGCCCAAGAAGACGGTTGCCGTTTTCGTTGCGGAGCCATATCCAAATTTCCCGATCCTATATTCCTTTCCTAGTGGCATCCCAATTTTCGCACCAAAATCGCCCACAACAAGCTTGTAAAAGGACTTTCCGTTGCGGACGACCTCCTCCACGTCTTCGTAGAGAAAGCATCTAGTTCTGAGTGGCCAGGTGCTGATGTTGGAGAGTAGCAGTTGATGATGCTGATGGTCTTCTGACGTGGAGGTCGTAATCGTAGGATGACTAGTGGAGGTAATAGGATCTCATGCGAATCGACAAGAGACAATATATGGGTGGACGACAAAGCCAACAGCTCCAACATTTCGTGATGGAATCTTCTCACCACAAATGATGAGCGTCGCATCACTCATCTGTCGCACGTACTTCTTCCTGGGCTTCGTCTCCTCCAGAGCGATGACGTGATACTTGATGTGCTCCGCAGCGTCGAGAAGAGCGTGGAGATCGGCGTTTGTGGAGATTGTCCTGCGTTGTAAGTGCAGAGCATGAGGTAGTCTCCATGGCGTGTCGTCCGAGCAGACGTGTCATTTTGTCCAATCCAAAAGGCGCCCTGAGGACCCTGACATCGTTTTCTTGCTACCACCCGGCGCCGTAAGTGGGATCCGATGTAAGGGTTTTTTTTCTATTCTTCCAACTGGTAGAGCAATGAAATTTTTCCCTACAAGAGCAGACTTACTAGGCCTTTAATTTCCATAGGGCGATCGCTGGTTTGGATGTGAAGCGGGGAGAACCGCCTAGCGACCAGAAAACCAGACGGCAGTGGATCCGGCCTGGCCGGCTCTTAGCTAGACATCCGGCCGAAACCGGAAACATGGAACTCCTCTACAGCTTGGGAGACCCTACCCAGAGTATACACTGGCTGTGCATCGCAGTTCGATACCCAGTGTCACCCCCACGCCACGATGAGACGGCCGACCATTGTGGAGGCCTGCCAATACATATGATTATTTCTTTGTTGAAGCAGTATATTGAAAAGTGAGGCAAATACTCGATCATTCTGTTAATGTATGGCACTTGAGCGTTTAAAAGCAGTTAACACCCGTTAACTTTTGCGCAGGAGATACATATGTCATCAAGAAAGAAGGACAGGTGAAAACCACACTGCCACTGTGGTTTTTTTTCCGAATTACCATCCTAGTGTAATTCGATGATAGTGGAAGGTGTGAATGTCGTCTCTATTCCATCAATGTTTATTTGTTCTAGGTAAGTCTCGATCGGATGGACTGCTACGTTTTCCTCTTTGCTACAGGTCCATTCCAGTCGCTTTGGCACTCGTTGACTGTTTCGTTGTCATCTGCAGGGCGAAGGTTTCCTAAAAATTCATAGTCGTTTTGGCGTAACTTAAGAGCAGCCATTAGATTCAAGTTTCATCAGGAGATTACTACTAAGTGGAGGAAAAGGAGAGAGCAGATAGTTATTTTAGGCACAAGAGTTTGAGTCATGTAAACAACTTTTGGTGGGGTATTCAGCATGTTTTGTACCACCTTCAAAAGAATTTTGATTTACCTTTATCGAGTGCTTCTTTTATCATACATTCACGTTCTTTTTTCAGTTTTTCTTCCTTTTGCTGTCTACGCTTTTTCCTTTCTTCCCTTTCTTTATCTTCATCATCCTAGAAAATCACAACATTTGTGGTCTAAGATAGTGCGAGCACATTTTTACCTCATCATCTTTATCTTTCTTATCCTCTTTTTCTTTCATCTCAGTTTTCTCTTTCTCGGAAGCTTCCTAAATATAATAAGTGCTGCTATAAAGCTTTGTGGAAATTCTTGAGTACCTTTTTTTCCTTCTCCTTCTCATTTCCTTCCTCTTTTTCTTTATCCTTGTCTTTGTCCTTCTCTTTATCCTTATCTTTGTCCTTATCTTTATCCTTGTCTTTATCCTTATCTTCCTCTTTCTTCTCTTCTTTCTTGGATATCTCAAGAAATTGTTTTAGCTCAATTCTTGCATCCGCTTGAGTGACGGACAGGGTGAAGAGAAGGAGGGGTCGCGCAGACCGGTAAATTTTTGAGTTACTCACATGTTTCATTATGACACAGTGCGAGTGAATCGTTTTCCCTTGTAAAACTTAGATTAACTCTAAGAGCTCAAAAATCAAAAGCTCTGTAAAAAAATTTTTAAAATTTTTTGGGCGCGGCTGCCGGTATGCCCCTGATTTCTAAATCTTTCGGGTTATAAACGCGCAAATTTTTAAACAGCTTCCCAAAAATTTTTCCAAAAGGCGGGCGCTAGCCATCTGAAAAAAAAACTTTGTTGCCCTCCCCGTTTCCTCGACCGCCAGGTTTGAAATAGGTTTCATAGACCTTTATGGTGACAAACATTGATTAAAAGCGCTAAATGCTGGTGCTAGTGCATATTGTTTTGTTTCATGCTTTGACAATAAAAACATCGCTGACGATTTTGAGGGCAGTGACTGGTCAAATCGACGACCGCTGTTTTCATTTCGAGTTTTCTGGATGTGTTGATCTTAATGCTCTTTCACCTACAAAAGCCGCAAAATCTAGCATTAGTGGCCGTAAAGACTCCTGAAATGGCAGGAAGAAAATGACGTTTTCTAGATTGCGACAGGAACGCAAGGAGAGTATTTATCCTTAAAGCACCAAAGCTTAGTTTTGAACTCATGTTTGTACACCAAGAGTGACTTCAAAATCCGAAACACAAATTTGGTATGCCCTGCCTAGCGTTCTTTCAAATTAAAGTACTTGGAGCATCCCCTTTGAAAACTGATGAAGGAGCGTTCACAAAGTCATTGCTCAAGCGGTAGCGCAAATCAACCATTCACTTTGAAGTATTCATCTCCACACCTTTTCACACCCGATCCTAGACTGTACGTTTGACTTTACTTTTCGCAAGGATGTATACAATACTGAATAGCATAGAACAATGATTCCAAATTTACTTTCCTTATCTGCGGAACATCTGTGAAAGAGGAGTTTGAGCGTTTATTGGAGCAAAAATTGATTGTGCATTTAGGATCAAGTTGCTAAAACCTCGCTAACCTTCAAATAAAGCAACAACGTGTGATATATCTTTCGTCTTGAAGTACTTATTGAATATAGTGCTTTGAAAATTGTCCCGCTCCATTGAAGTGCCAGAAAAATTCACGCGAATATTCCATATGTTCTCTCTTCGTAAAAGCTGAGCATTATAATAGCATTATCTTCTATGAAGTTTTGCTACACAGGCTTGTCATGAGCTTTAATTATTCAGCCTGAGTTTCGGCATAATGCCTTCCTTAACACATTCACGACAGAGCCGATTTTTCAATGACTGCCATTTCGGACCAGAGCATAAGTTGCGAAATTGAGTTTGCGTGATATTTTCAGGTCACTGAAGGGTCTTGTGGTCTTAAGTGTTAATCTTTTAAGAAGTACTCCGAGAAGTGTATGCAGAAGTTTACTCGGCTTGCCTAAAAAGTTTCACCGTGAACTAGCAAAATCAAAAACTTCAGAAAGCATACGACCCACCGGTGGGTCGTATTGTCCGAAATGGCAGGACACGTACGACCCACCGGTGGGTCGTATTGTCGTGAATGTGTTAAACGTCTATCCTTTAGTGTTTGCTAATTTGTACGACACTTTCGTCACTTGCTTCGTGCAATTCGTCTTATGTGGACGGTACAGAGTCCACGGTAACAGCAACTCACCAATTTCAACGGCATTGCTTGATAACGATCCGCCACTGATAGCAAGTGACTGAACAGTAATGGACAGCCTAAGTACTCCTGGGTATCTTATAATTGACATTACGAGTGGACGGCATAAAGCCTCGATCAAAGTTTACGCGATTTCATCGCCTTATGATTCTCCAAACTAGCAAATGTGACGAGTCCATTGCATGCCGATCATCTTGCATTTCAGTTGTGATATTTTCACGACACGACTAATCGTGATTAACTATCACAACCGAAATGCAAGATGATCGGCATGCAGTGGACTCATAACAGTACCTAGTTTGGAGAATGACAAGGTGATGAAATTGCGTGAATTCTGCCCAAAGCTTTAGATCGAGAGTGATAGAAAGCCGGCAAAAATGGCAAGAATGGACAACTTTCTATCACTAGCGATTTTATGCCGTTCATATCCTGCTGTCAGCTATAGGATACCCACGACTCTTAAGCTGTTCACCATGAGACAGTTCAGTCATTTGTCATCGGTGGGTGGATCATTACCAACCAGCTCGCTGAGGTTGATGAGTTGCCGTTGTCGTGACCTCTCACCGTCTACTCAAAACGAATCGAGCGAAAGAAGCGGGTAGAACATCAGAGAAAATGATGCGAATATTGTTGTCCTACTTGCACATTCAATTTTTTGTTTTCAAACAAACGCTCCTCTTCGTCTAAGGCCCCGGGCAGACTTCACGCGATTTGATCGTCGCGACTGAATCGCGACGAGACAACTGTACAACATCATTCCATGCCGATCAACTTGCATTTCGGTTGTGATAGTTTTCCAGCCCGAAATTTTTGAATGTGAAATGAAAATGAATGGAAATCTTGGCGATTAGGTCGCGACGATTAAGTCGCGTGAAGTCTGTCCGGGGCCTAAAAGGGCCACTTCGACCGAACCTGCTTCGCTTGTGGGTGCATTTACTCAGTAGATGTCTGTTCAATATCTTTGGCTCAGAAACTACGACTTTATCAGGCGTAACTGTGAACATTACGCAATTGCGACCAGATTTTTCTTGTATCGGTCAGTTCAGTAAGTACGGTCATGCTACAGTATGAAACAACCCAAACTGGATTTTTATAAAAAGCAAAGTTTTTAAGCTTCGAAATTTGTTAGCATATAAGCAGTTGCAGCGGAATCACGTTTTGAGGCTCGAAAGAAAGCAAATAAGCTTGAACTTCCTTCCTCTCTTGATAATAAGCGAAGAAAGATTTCCCACCAATCATTTCCTCTCTGGTAAGTAAAAAGGTAAGGAGTAGAAGGTTTTGGTGCTACCTCTGTTACCACCGTTGTCTTGACCACTTTATTGCTGTTCCCGCTCTCACTGCTGTTACCGCTGTTAACGCTGTCACTGCTTTCGGATGAAGGGATGGATAACTATTTTATTCCTCCATGCTGATTCTCCGCTGTAAACTGATCGTATCATTCAACAGGCACAAATAGTGGTGTATGGCCGAAACCTTAGCTAAGGCCCATCATTAGATATCGCACCAAAACTCTAATGTACTTAGATTGGGACACTGCCTTTAAGAAAGTACCCGACGACGTTGTTCGTGATTGTTAGTGCACATAGTCTAGTTTATTTCTCAACACCTATTTGTTGATTACGTTGAGTCATGATATAAACAAGTGTGTTGGCTTAACTATGTAGAATTATCTTTAAGAACCTACTCAGCCGCCGTTTTTATTACGTGACTCCAAAGATATAAGCAGCTTACTACAGATGCTATCTTGCCCCAATGATTTAGTTTATTTCTTAGAAAGTTATCGTTGACAAAACTTCAAATTAGACGTACTTTACTATCTGGAGTCGGAGTGGCTGAAAAATTCAACTTCACTAGAAGTAAAATGCAAAAGAATATAAACCTGTTCCCTTTGCGGCAGACCGGGACTTCGACAACTTCTCTACAAAACTTGAGATACAGTGAAACGCAGGCAAAGACGATGCTTGACTTACTGCTTAATGGAAACTTCTGACAATTTGTTATAACGTTTAAAGTGAGCATTATGACCCATGGTAATAGAAATAGCAGAATCATGGCTGGTAAGTAACTGGAAAAGGTAGAGCGAACTCGTGCAGGATGGATGCTGCAATCTGGAAAGGACTTGCCGAATGGGAGGGCGCGCCACCCTCCGAAGTAAGTGAGTATGAATGGTGCTACTTCGAGAATGTAGCTTACCAAACATGAAGGCTGCTTGTTGTTAGCTGATGAAAGCAGAGAGGTCGATTCTTATTGGAAGTAGTGTCATTCAGAACAACAGTATTGGCATCAACAGTAGTGCCCCTCGAAAAAATTTGGAACTTTGTACTCTCAAAATTGTTTGTTACGTTAGTCGATCGTCTTGCTTAGGTTCAGTGAATTCTTCTCGCAGTGCTGCCACTGACACATGAAATAAACGAAAATCAAAAATACGAAAGACGATCTTACTTTGCTTTTATTTCACTCTTTAAATACCCTGAGGTGCACCATGAAGAATGGAAATAGAAATCTCAGCTTTAAGATAAAAAATATGCGAATTTAGAAGAAAACACGAAGCCTTGGGCAACGGCTAATATATCAGCCTAGAAAAGTTAAAAGAAGGTGCACTTCGTCATAGCCCTTGCAATCTTGCTTCTCCAAAATTTGTGATGGCTAGCTGATTTTGATTTTTTCTAACATAAGAAAACAAGAACTGTGATTGAGCGGTAGGAATAAACATCTACCCAGTGTCAGGTACATTTATTGTGAATTTTTTGGAACTTTCTCTGGAATTTATTAGGTTGTCAAGAAAATAATGTCGGTTTTTATTTGCTTGCTTTAACAAAGCAACCAGACTCAACCCGACGAAGGGTAAGGGGTACTGTTCGATAGAGCAAAGCAAGCTCTACAAGATGGCACTCATGTCTTTGCCCCCTGCTCGATCCACGGAGAGTTCGAACTCAAAATCTAAAGATTTCCAAATGCCCAAAAAATCGAAAAAAATCAGATCTTCGTCCAAATAATTTCTACGGACCTCCCACTCGCTCACATCCATATTATAGATATTTGATGTCCATAAGTGCGATTGTCGTATTTTTTCCTTGACTAGAAACTGAGAAAACGAAAATTTCCCTGATTTTCCCAAAGCAATGCTGAGCCGTTCTTGCATATGTAGTTCTACACTACAAGCTTAGATAAGTATAACTGTAGATTTTTAGCCCATTCCAAGCGGTAGTTTTCAAAAAATAACGAATTCGGATTTTTTCGTTCCAGTTTCAGTGCTAAAATCGGCATTTCTCGAAAAGTATCGCTCGAAATAGGCTGAAAACCTACAGTTATACTTACCTAGGCTTGTAGTATAGAACTACATATGCAAAAAACGGCTCAGCATTGCTTTGAGAAAATCAGGGAAATTTTCGTTTTTTCAGTTTCTAGTCAAGGAATAAATACGGCGATCGCACATATGGATATCAGATATCGATAGTATTGATGTGAGTGAGTGGGAGGTCCGTAGAAATTATTTGGACGAAGATCTGATTTTTTTCGATTTTTTGGGCATTTGGAAATCTTTAGATTTTGAGTTCGAACTCTCCGTGGATCGAGCAGGGGGCAAAGACATGAGTGCCATCTTGTAGAGCTTGCTTTGCTCTATCGAACAGTACCCCTTACCCTTGGTTGGGTTGAGTCTGATTGCTTTGTTAAAGCAAGCAAATAAATACCGACATTATTTTCTTGACAACCTAATATATGATCTGGAAATGCAGAATACCATTTCAACGTTAGTCAGATTAATAATTTGAAAGTTTAAAAATTGTTATTTAGTATGCTAAAATGTAAAACATCTGCATGTTCTGTCACTATATAGTCCAAAAATTTGATAGGTATATGATTTGAGTATGGTTTCTGAAGTAAGAATTCGAAAACAAAGAAAGTTGGACGACAAAACGCCTGTACTTCAGGTTTGAGGGTTACGCATATTGAGACGAGTGCGATCAGAGGGTAAGTGAGGATACTCCGAGTTGGGAAAACCTACATATAAAAGTACCAGTGCGTCACCTCTGCTTCGCAAAGGCTCGCACTCGCTCTACTATCTAGGCCCTACTCATTCTCGCATAATGATGGCATTGGTACTCACCGAGCGATGCCGACTATCACGATAAAATGTAAACAACTACTCATTTTGAAAGCTTTTTTATGTGAAATCGGTGATTTCGCGTGGATAAAACTTTTTGCAGGAAAGCAAACATAAATGTTTATAGGTCTTTGATTTTCTCATGGTCTCGACACTTGCAATAAGAACAGCGGCCACTGTGAGCTACATCTTTGTGCAAAAATCTCGTCAAATGCTCTATGTAAATGTGATGTAAAACCTTGGCAAGTTGACCATTTACGCATCCAATACTTTTTGGCCCCCGTTTTTGTTAAGTAATGGACTTTTGATTACTTTTTTGGGCCCAAGTTCATGGCCTGCACATTTACTTGGCGTAAACATCCACGACTCTACAAAAAGTGGAATTACGAACCCAATTTCGCGGCCCAAATGCAAAGTGGATCCGTTTGACGCGCAATTTCTGACGGATCCACTCAACGAATTTGCTCGTGCTTTTGCGCGTTGAACTTTCATGCGGGTAGCATGCGCTGTGCAAAATTTGAGCCCAGGAGGTTGGCTGGAACTCGCGTTATGAATTTCGTGACAGACAGACATTTACACAGACAGACACACAAAAAAACGTAAACACTCTTAGCGCGTTAATATAGTAAAATCCTCGTGAAAGCTTTCTGGATTTGTTCAGCTCTATCAATGGTTTATCAGATGAATTATATATCAAGATAAAAAAGTATATGTTGTGCACTGGCTCGAAAACTTAAGGTAGATACCACTGTAGCTGTACGTGCAACACTGGGAACAGTGTATTACGGTAGATGTTAAGGCATTCACAATTTGCCTCATTCTTTGGACTAACTTCCATGTTGTTAGTGGACAAAGTAAGTGCCGTATTGAGGTCACCAGTGCGTCACCTCTGCTTCGCAGAGGTTCGCACTGGCTCTACTATCCGTGCCTTCTTCGTGATCGCATAATAATGACTTTGAAACTCACCGCGCTATGCTGAACATCACGAATGAATTGTAAACAACCATTCATTTTTAGTGCTTTTCCATGTAAGATTGGTAATTTCAGGAGAAAAAATTTTCCCGCAGAAAAACAAATGCGATTCTGAATGGGTTACTGAATTTATTTTAGCTTTATATTCGCCATAAGGATAAACACCACTTTGGGCTACATATCTATTCAAAAATCCTCTCAATTTTTATAGAAAATTCTTGGCAAATCGACAATTTGCTCACTTACATCTTTTTGGCGCCAATTTTGTGTAAAGATTGACTTTCTGCTTACTTTTTGAGCTGAAGTCAATGTTTTTCGGATTTACTTGCTGAACAAATCCACGACTTTGCAAAAAGCCCAACTACCGACAGATTTTGGCGGACCAAAAGTCGCGCGGACCCGTTTGGCGCTCAGTTTTCACAGGTTCCACTAATCGGATCGGCTTGTGCTTTTGCACAGTTTACCTACATGCTGATAGGGTGTTATGACCAAAATTTTAGCTCAGGATCTTTGATGGAAGTCGCTCTACGAATTTCGTGACAGACAGACGTACACACAGACAGACAGACAAACAGACGTAAACACCCTTAGCCCGTTATTATTAAGTCATAGATAATTATACAGGATGTCCGAAGAGAAGTATCGTCGTGAAAGCTTTTTGGATTTCTTCAACTCTATCAATGGTTTATCAGACCACGCACTGGGTTCGAAATCAAGGTAGATTCCACTGTAGCCGTACGTGCAACACTGGGAACTCCGAGTTGTTTTACGGTAGACTTTGGAAGCAGCGGCTCGGCAGATTCTCGACTTGGAGTTTTTTTTGCTTACCTGGAGTAATATAAGGTGCTGGTTCCGAAAATCCTCCTTGAAGAGAGCGAAGATGGCAGAAACCACCATTTCCCAAAAACTTCCATTTTGAAGTTGGAGGGGTAGAGCACGTCCCGCCATATTTAGAGAGGCAAAATCGTTGCGACCCTCGCAGTTATAACAATGCGGCATGCCTACTCTGACAGGCTCAGACATTCGCAGTTATGTCCCGCTGGAGATCCGCCCACAAAATGAGAATGCGCGAGAAAACCGGGAGTCTTGCGCGACACTCGGTTTTGTCCCGACTATCGGGATAATCCCGACACAAAAAATGAAGCGGGAGATTATCGGGAGTCACGATTTCGGGGCGCGCTCCCAGTGTTTGAGCCTAAAGGACACTTGCGTGTAATACGACGCATGGTCAGACTACCCTCAATGTCCACAACCTTGAATGTGTTTCCATTCTCACAGGCAAGAACACCATCAATATGTTGCCTAATGGACAACCTTTGATAGGATCTTGTCGTTATTCAATCTTAAACTCGGACTCGATCTCCGAAACCGTTGTACCCCAATCGATTTTTGTGTATGAGCGGGAGTCCCGCCGGTGACTGGATTGCGACACCATCGGGACTCCCGCAGGAGCTCCCGGTTCTCTCAGTAAAAAACATGTCGGGACAAAAGCGCGTGTCGCGCAGCATTAGCCCGAACCAAAACCGGGAGTCCCGGTTTTTTCTCGAACCATTTTGCTTGTGTCCCGCAGTCATTCCGGCGGGACACAACTTTTTCACCGGCGGGACTTAACTGCGAATGTGTGAGGGTCGGGAGAATCGTAAGCTCGTCCGCGCGTATTAGGATGGCTTGCACGTAACGGCTTCGGGGCAGCTTTCTAGGCAAGTGCAGCATGCTGTGCGCTCGAACCTGCTCTCTTCTCATGCTTAGGGTACAAGCAACCTTTTATGTTAATATCAGGATGTTGGCAAGCTGCTGCCTTTAAAGGCACCGTCCACCCAGATTTTCGACTTCCACGTTTTTGTCGTTTCAGGGCCTTCTCATGTCCCTGATTCCGAATGTGTAATCGAGAATGCGCGAAAACCCCGACAATCCCCATTTCGGAGAACCCACGAGCCGGCTTTCCGGAACGGTGATTGGACGGGCGCGCACAAATGGGCGGGCATGGATGGGGAGGGCGGGCATGGATGGGGGTCCTCGTGCATCTTCGCTATTCCGAAGCGATTTTCTCGCTTCCGAAGCGGCATTTTGACTTGGGACTTAGGCATTGGATTGATAGGGGGCCCTACTATTATATGCTGTCA